GTATCTTGTATATATAATACATACGGACCGTGCTAAAGTTGATTAAATAAGTATTTCTTGAAACTATTCTTAAATATTGACAATTTTGTTTTTCTTCTTATAGTCAGTGGTATGGAATTCCAAATAACCATGGCATTAAATTGGAATGTGTCATAAAAATAATTAGTACGTGGTTTGTAAGACGAAATTAAATTTCCGTGAGATATCGATCTTAGATTATACTTTTGATTATTAGATATGGTAAGTAAGTCTCGGATATATTGAGGGGACATATTATTCAGTGCTTTATATACTTGGACACCGGTGTGAAAAATACATCTTTTCTTGAAAGGCAATATTTTAAATCTTTTGTATAAATTTTCTGATTGGTTTCTCATTGGAAGGTCTAGAATAATTTTGCAAAGTCGTGTTTGTATTTTGTATATTTGGCATAAATATTTTTTTTCTTTTCCCCATATATTACAACAATAATCAAAAATAGGAAGAAGGTATGCATTATAAAAAAAGCATGCGAGATTCCTTATTTAAAAAGTACTTTATACGCCTAAATAAATTCACTTTAGAGTTCAATTTTTTACACACATCATTTACCTGACAGTGCCAATTGAGTGTATTTTCAACATAATTACCAAGCAGTTTTTGTGATTCTACATTGTCAAGAGTTGAGTCGTTAATTTTCAAATTTAATGCTTTAACAATCTTTAGCTTTTGTCTACTACCTACCAGCATACTTTTAGATCACAACTTAATGTTAGTCTCATACATTGATCACAACAGAGTGTAAATATTATATGTTTATTAAAATATATATGTTTCGATAAATGAGTCTATGTAGATGCCTACGTAATACATGAATGTACAACCTTATTCGTGATTTTTACAAATGAATGTTCATGCAAAATAATTACAGTTAAATCACGTGCGCATTTATCTTTATTTCATAAAGAGATATGTTCATTTTTGAATCTGTTTCATACATTTAATCAAAGTCAAAGTAAATTGTTTAGAATGTTATATAAAATGGATATTACAGGACATTAATCATGTAGACAATTGTCTTGTCAAATACTATATTAAATATTTGACACTTTGACGGCTAGACAAATGTTCAGGTAATATTAAAATTTATAATATTTCATACCGATATTGCTAAATTGTTAATGCTTGTTGTAAAAGATTGGTTATTGATTTTAAAATACTAAAAAAATCCGTTAATCTAAAACTAATTGTGTCGAGTTCTTCTTACAATTTTTTCATTCTTAGTATTTTTGGCGAAAATAAATTCTAACCATGCCATCAGTGGAGACTAAATTTAGACCACACATTTGTGTTGGCTTAAGTCATTGCATATTTTAAATTCTTTCTTAAAATAATTGGTTTTGACCAGATTGAAGATTGACAAGTCGATTTAAAGTATTTAGCTTAGAAAGTGTTAATTTTCTTCTGTCCATGAATGGTGCACCAATTAATCAATTTATCCTTATATTTATGTCAAATAAAATATACTACATGAAGCAGAGATGCAAAAAATGGTGTTAGATTAAAATGTAGAAAATCTAGATAACTCAAGAGCCCTAAAATACAGGGACGTGAACGGTAGCTTGCATTTGCTACTACCTCCATAAACAGGCTCAATCAAACCCAGATTTTGCCATATTTGGCGATCTTTAAGAGTTCTATTTCTTTCTATTTAATAGAGCCTGTTCAAGTTTTTGTTGACCGGATAAAAACAAGGTACATCAATTTTGATATATAATTATTTTGTCAGGATATTTAAATGCATATCAATTTTAGCAGGAGTTTTGTTTACCTCTATGTCATCATCCCCGTTGTACATTCAATAACACATGATAAGATGAATTGCCATATTTACATACGTATAATAAATCAGAAAATATGTATTAAATATTTCATAAAGGTAAATGTTTTCTGTTTCGTATATATACCAAATACATTTGTTTCTAATAAATTGCGTTCGACGTCAGATCATAAAGAAGTTCGATATCTATAACAAAACATATAATTCTAATATTGAAATGCCAGAATATTGCTTTGTCATTTTTGTACGATAAACAAGTTATATTGAAAGTACATTTTTTTTTTCAATTTATCAAAGCTTTATTGTCAAACAACTAAGCTAGGAAAATAATGCAAATAATTAAATGTTTTGTTCATGTGCTAACTAAACAAATATCACGATGAACACATTTCGACTTACAAAAGATATTAAAAACGTGATATATTCATAAAGTAAATTGCAAGGAAACGAAAACGGTTACAAGGGTGTCCCACAAAAATGTCATTTTTATTGTTTGTTTGTTTCGTTTTACGCCTTTTCCCAAACAGTATTTCAGTCATATAGGCGGGTAGTTTCCTAACCATCGTTCCTGGAGAGTTACACCAGTACTAGACTACCAACTACCAAAGCATCTCCCGGGGATCGAACCCACACCAGAGAGGTAACTGGATTAGAAGTCATCGACTCTACCCCTCGGCCGTTTCAAACACATACAAATATCTTGCTATTGCCATATTAAATAACTTCATTGATGGGGCTCAGTAAAGTATGTCACGTAGTCTGCACTTTATTAATTTTCGACAATTGTAAATCAAATATTGATAATAAGAAATTACATTCGTTTCTATCTTAATTACTTGAACAATTTTAAAACATGAATCAGCATGACAAATACAACGTTTTTATGTTACATTATATTGATAGTAGCCTTAAGTTCTGTCTAAAATAAAAGAAAAACGGAATCTTATCTCTCAAGCATGCGCCAATTTTAATTCAAAATTTGACATTTTCTTAATTACAAACCAATTCAATTATGACAGTTTCTAATAGAAAATTAGGTTTTGTTTGTCTTTTTTATATACCATTATGCACAATAATATGTTGTAACAAATCTGTCTCTCTTTCACCCGATGCAACTGTAATATATTTGAGCAATATTATATCTAAAACAGTGATTTTATATATATATAAACAAGTAGATAAACAACTGATATCTTTCCGGTTTAATCTTGTTAATTTACAATGTAATCAGTGTTGTTATCAGGAACGTAAGTATCAATATCAAAGTCCATCAATCCATTTGCATTTGTAACCGATGTGAAAATTTGAGGACTAATATTTCAAGGTAAAATATTCTTATTTAATATCTTAATGCCTACAAAAAGGACTTTCTTACAAAGGCAACAACATTATGACTTTATTATGCTTTTTTTAAGGAAATTAAATATATTTTGATACACAATGTCATGGTATTGAAACACTTATTGACTTGGTTTTTTTGCATGCCCTTTATATTTGTATATTTAGGGATTCTGCCTTTCACTATTTTGTTATTCTGTGCTTACGTTTGTATTGGTAGATTCTTAATTATAAAATAAAGTATTGTTCATTCTTCATATCTAAATATTATAATTGTGTATGAAATACTCTTTAAAGCATCATGTGCAAAGTTATAAATAGTGAAAAACAGAATCCCTAAAGAAAGCCCAACACGGCAAAATTGTAAAATGTTGCAGGCTCGGTTTGATTTAGCCTGTTCATGGACATGGAAAGTGCAAGTTACCGTCCACGACCCTAGCACCGGCTTAAGCAGAATTCAACATTTAAACACAAAAATGGTGAATTTTGAATTTAGAAACATCCGCGGATGTGTTCATACGGCGGTCATCATGGAACCTTCAATGTGACACAGTATTGTCATTCCATGAAAAGCGGCGTATGGTCCCAAAGTAAAAGAATGCGTGTGCCCTAAACGAGAACACAATTGGGGGAACTGAATAAAAATGAATTTTGAAAGGGGATCTGACCTTAAGTTTAACCTTAATAAAGTAATGTTTGCACTAGATTTTTATTGGTCCATAACCTACTGAACTTCCAGTTCACCTTCCATTTATTGAACTGTCCATTATCAATACAAGTGCTATCAAGATGACAAGATATGTAAAACATGTATGTCAACCTCGCCCCCTTCCCCCACGCCAGTCAATTAGTCATGTGACCAGGTTATTGTGACTAACCTTTGACTGTTGACGACCTAGTGACCACAATATCAATTGGGTTTATTTCCTGGTCATGAATTGTCACTAGGTTACAATAACCTTAAAGCAACATTCCTCCAGATGAGCCAAACATTTAAAGAAAATTAAACTTGAGAAATTGTACTAAGATTGTAAGAAAATTTAAGACACATAAGAATCGGAAACTTAATTATGCATTATTCAAAAAATCATTCTTGGGAGCAATTTCTCAAATAGCAATCAATTAAATTGCATTGAAATTGATGAAAGCAAATAATTCTCCACAAAGAAAATGGCGGTAAATCATAAAAGGAAGTAACTAGACTTTCCTTTTCCCCTGGTTTTATTTCTTTAAGTTACTCCCCCACCTTCCCCGAAGTTCCTGTCCCCTGCCCCTGTGTCCTTTTGCTTTGTGGGCCTGTTATTCAATCATCAATTTGTTTTCTTTGAATTCCTTATCAGTTACAAAGTATTTCTTCTTATGTATCATTCTAGTGATTAGCCTTCCGTTTTCTGCCTTGTGTCCTGTCCTGTTTTTGTTTTGGGTCCTCATGGGTTCCTTGCCGTTGGTTCTTGTTGCCGGGTCTTGTGGGGGTTGCGTTCATTGAACGCCGCCTTACCTTGTTGATCTTCTTTATCATATTTTACCTTTGTTTCAAATAAATTATGATAATCGTCAATGAATATCGAGTTTTTTATACACTAAAGGGCATTTGAAAACATGCAATACATAGAAATGTATAGATATTATCCAGTACTCAGCACATGCGGGTGTTTCTAAGGTAATCCGTTGTTACAAACAAATTTTTACCTTTATAGCTTCATAGTACATTACCCGTCACAATAGATTATTCAATGTACATGTTGCGTTTATTTTCGAAGCTGTAACTGTAATAATTTGCTTGTACCTACGGGTTACCTGGGGGAATAATTCAGGAGTTAGTCTATTACATTTTAGGTAAAAAATGGCAGTCTCAGGAATGAAAGCATCAGAACAATTTTCGTCATTAACAACGTCAATGGCATCAGATGAAGATCTTCAAATATACTGCCAGCCTTGTGACGAGGAGGGAACTAGACTCCATGCCTACGGTTACTGTACTGACTGCAAGGAGCACCTTTGTAAGACATGCTTATCAGCCCACAGAATAAATAAGCTTTCTAAACATCATGCACTTCTCGATGCAACAAGTATGCCTAAAGTTTTGCAGCAACCCTCAACATTCATTCAAACAGGCCTGTCGGATGACTTGTCCTTGCTATGTGGTAGCCATCCAAAAGAAATGATCAAGTACTACTGCAATGATCATACAGAATTTCTTTGCAGTGTTTGTGTTACCCTTAAACATCAACCTACTTCCTGCAATGTCAACTATATACCTGACATTTCTGGTGATAAAATAGACAGCAAAGAATATCACGTAATCTTGAATACCGTAAATACCACTTATGATCAATTTCAACAGCTATTTAAAGATGTCAAGAACATGGTATACAAATCAAACAGCTCTCTTAAAAATGCATTAGTTAACATTAAACAATTCAGGCAAGAAATAAACCAAAAACTAGATGAACTTGAAAGACAGGCTGAAGATGCAGCTAAAGTCATAGAACAAGATAACAACAAACATATAAAAGCAATACAAACAACATGTGAAGAAGTTACCAAATCTCTGAAGACATCATCAGACACAATCAAACAACTCAACACAACAAAACAAGCTGACAAACTCTTCATTGATTTAAAACTTGCAATTAATTTAATCAATGATGTTATATTTTCGATCCTTGAAGATCGTTCAGCACGACATTATTGTTGTGCTTGTGGTATTTTTAGTTTCAACTTTTCGGCATTTTCTAGTTGGGTGGTTCCAATATTCCTTCTTGAATAATGTTGAATCACCCTTAGGATATGTTGCCTGCTTTTTAAATTTGTCTTTTGACGTCTTATCTGTGATACGCAGGCTTCATAACCTCTGATCCCCTTTCAAAATTCCATTTTTTTAGTTCCGCCCATTGTTTTCTCGTTTAGGGCACACGCTTTTTATTACTTGGGGACCATACGCCGCTTTTCATGGAATGGCCAGAAAGTGTCACATTGAAGGTTCTATGATAACCGCCGTATGAATACATCTGCGGATGTTTCTAAATTCAAAATTTTACTATTTCACGTCTAAATGTTGAATTCTGCTTAAGCCGGTGCTAGGGGGCGTGGACGGTAGTTTGCACTTTACAGTACCGTCCATGAACAGGCTCAATCAAACCGAGCCTGCAACATTTTCAATTTTGCCGTGTTGGGCTTTCTTTAGGGATTCTATATTTATCTATTTTATGATCACATCCGTGTTATTTGTGCCGTGTGGCGGCTGTAAAAAGTCTCCCCGTACATTTAATCAATGATGTTATATTTTCGATCCTTGAAGATCGTTCAGCACGACATTATTGTTGTGCTTGTGGTATTTTTTAGTTTCAACTTTTCGGCATTTTCTAGTTGGGTGGTTCCAATATTCCTACTTGAATAATGTTGAATCACCCTTAGGATATGTTGCCTGCTTTTTAAATTTGTCTTTTGACGTCTTATCTGTGATACGCAGGCTTCATAACCTCTTATCCCCTTTCAAAGTTCTATTTAGTTAAGTTCCGCCAAATATTTTCTCGTTTAGGGCACACGCTTTCTTTTACTTGGGGACCATACACCGCTTTTCATGGAATGGCACGAAAGTGTCACATTGAAGGTTCTATGATAACCGCCGTATGAATACATCTGCGGATGTTTCTAAATTCAAAATTTTACTATTTCACTTCTAAATGTTGAATTCTGCTTAAGCCGGTGCTAGGGGGCGTGGACGGTAGTTTGCACTTTACAGTACCGTCCATGAACAGGCTCAATCAAACCGAGCCTGCAACATTTTCAATTTTGCCGTGTTGGGCTTTCTTTAGGGATTCTATATTTATCTATTTTATGATCACATCCGTGTTATTTGTGCCGTGTGGCGGCTGTAAAAAGTCTCCCCGTACATTTAATCAATGATGTTATATTTTCGATCCTTGAAGATCGTTCAGCACGACATTATTGTTGTGCTTGTGGTATTTTTAGTTTCAACTTTTCGGCATTTTCTAGTTGGGTGGTTCCAATATTCCTTCTTGAATAATGTTGAATCACAATTGGGATATGTTGCCTGCTTTTAAACTTTGTCTTTTGACGTCTTATCTGTGACATGCAGGTTCATAACCTCTGATCCCCTTTCAGAATTCCATTTTTTTAGTTCCGCCCATTGTTTTCTCGTTTAGGGCACACGATTTCTATTACTTGGGAAAAAAAACTTACGTATGTGTCACATTGAAGGTTCCATGATAACCGCCGTATGAATAAATCTGCGGATGTTTTTGAATTCATAATTTTACCAGTTCATGGTTAAATGTTGAATTCTGCTTAAGCCGTTACTAGGGCGTGGACGGTAACTTGCACTTTCCAGTACCGTCCATGAACAGGCTCAATCAAACCGAGCCTGCAACATTTTCAATTTTGCCGTGTTGGGCTTTCTTTAGGGATTCTATATTTATCTATTTTATGATCACATCCGTGTTATTTGTGCCGTGTGGCGGCTGTAAAAAGTCTCCCCGTACATTTAATCAATGATGTTATATTTTCGATCCTTGAAGATCGTTCAGCACGACATTATTGTTGTGCTTGTGGTATTTTTAGTTTCAACTTTTCGGCATTTTCTAGTTGGGTGGTTCCAATATTCCTTCTTGAATAATGTTGAATCACCCTTAGGATATGTTGCCTGCTTTTTAAATTTGTCTTTTGACGTCTTATCTGTGATACGCAGGCTTCATAACCTCTGATCCCCTTTCAAAATTCCATTTTATTTAGTTCCGCCCATTGTTTTCTCGTTTAGGGCACACGCTTTTTATTACTTGGGGACCATACGCGCTTTTCTTGGAATGGCACGGAAGTGTCGCATTGAAGGTTCTATGATAACCGCCGTATGAAAACAATTGCGAATGTTTCTCAATTAAAATTAAAAAAACATTTTCACTTCTAAATGTTGAATTCTGCTTAAGCCGGTGCTAGGGGGCGTGGACGGTAGTTTGCACTTTACAGTACCGTCCATGAACAGGCTCAATCAAACCGAGCCTGCAACATTTTCAATTTTGCCGTGTTGGGCTTTCTTTAGGGATTCTATATTTATCTATTTTATGATCACATCCGTGTTATTTGTGCCGTGTGGCGGCTGTAAAAAGTCTCCCCGTACATTTAATCAATGATGTTATATTTTCGATCCTTGAAGATCGTTCAGCACGACATTATTGTTGTGCTTGTGGTATTTTTAGTTTCAACTTTTCGGCATTTTCTAGTTGGGTGGTTCCAATATTCCTTCTTGAATAATGTTGAATCACCCTTAGGATATGTTGCCTGCTTTTTAAATTTGTCTTTTGACGTCTTATCTGTGATACGCAGGCTTCATAACCTCTGATCCCCTTTCAAAATTCCATTTTTTTAGTTCCGCCCATTGTTTTCTCGTTTAGGGCACACGCTTTTTATTACTTGGGGACCATACGCCGCTTTTCATGGAATGGCCAGAAAGTGTCACATTGAAGGTTCTATGATAACCGCCGTATGAATACATCTGCGGATGTTTCTAAATTCAAAATTTTACTATTTCACGTCTAAATGTTGAATTCTGCTTAAGCCGGTGCTAGGGGGCGTGGACGGTAGTTTGCACTTTACAGTACCGTCCATGAACAGGCTCAATCAAACCGAGCCTGCAACATTTTCAATTTTGCCGTGTTGGGCTTTCTTTAGGGATTCTATATTTATCTATTTGCAGAGAAAACAATAAAAAATATGCAGGAAAAACTACTAAAACTGTCATCATTTGATATCAAAGAGCACAACTTTCAATCAAATGATGTAATATTAAATTTCTTTAAGACAGAGAGGTCACTGGGTACATTGACACAGAAATCGTTTGATACAGAATGTCAAATAAAGTGTAGACAATCTTCACATAAGGGAGAAATCCGTGTAAAGACATCACAAGATGAATTAAGATGCTGTATAACAGGAATGACTCTGCTGACTCCTGACCTTCTTATCATCACTGACTACAATAACAATGCTGTAAAGATGGTGGATATCAGCAGTCAATATGTGTCTGATCAACTACAGCTAGATGCTGGACCATGGGATATCACAAGATTAGCCAGTACTGAACTTGCTGTCACACTTCCTTTCACACAGACAATACAGTTTATATCAATCTCATCAAACAAACTCATAACAAAGCACACTATGAAGGTTGATGGGAAGTGTTATGGTATAAGCTGTTATCAAAACAACTTTGTTGTGTCATTTCTTAATCCTACACAATTTCAGATCTTTGATATGAATGGCACAATACGAACAACAATTGATGAAAGAGATTTTTTCAGTTCTCCAGATTATGTTATATGTAACAGAAGTTCTATCTACATATCTGACTGTGACATGAAGACAGTGACAAGTTTAAACTGGCAGGGCGATGTGATTGGTAGTTATAGTGGTATAAGTTGGCCTTCGGGAATGTCCCTGTCTGATGATGGTACTGTTTTTGTGTGTGAAAAGAAGAGAAATGTTATAGAAGAAATATCAGGAGACTGTTCTACAGGACAGGTGGTGCTGCAAGATCTGGAGAAAGCAAGGGCTGTATGCTGGTGTGGAAAAACAAAGAAGCTCTATTACAGCTGTGATTTCGAATATGAAAATTTTCTTCAGATCTATAAACTGGCAATGTCTTAAACTAAAAGAATATACAACATTATTTATACAGTTCTTAACGATCATCCAAACATTTTCATTAAATAATCTACAAAACTTGTACATGTTCTTTTTGACCTATGGTCCGGAGAAAAAAGTAGCATGTAAAATACCAATAACAAAGTGTAAAAAACTAAAAAGTAATGAAGGTCACAGTTATCTGTTTTAAGTTTTGCATGTTTCTTGATGAACCGGTGAAGTTTCATGTTGATATCTTAAATGCTTTTTAAGATGTTCAAAATATGCTCCAAACAAAATATGGGACACCAGAAAGATGGAATGACTAATGGAGACTATCGCCATATTCCCCGCTGTCTTTGTCGGCGTAGGATAAAATGTCTTATGGTGTTAGGATGAATGATATGAGACATCATTGTGCTCTATAATGATAAATAGTTTGCTGAAAAACTAGAAAAAACAAAAACAAAATGACACAGGGATGTTATAAAAACATGTAATAAAACCCACTCTGAACAATTTGCTCTCATTTATGTGTGTAATAGAATTAAACAATTATCACATTCAATACTTATAAGCAAAAATTATATCTTTCATTTGATTTCACACAAGGACTTTATCATTACAAAAATCTGGAAACAAAGTGATCCTTCGGAAGCATTAATCACAACAAAATTACAAGAGAACTGCAGACTCGGTTTGATTGAGTCTGTACATGAGGGATAATGTAAAGTGCAACATCCCTCACGCCCCCTAGCACCGACTTGAGCGGAAGTCAATTCTCAAAGCGGTACTCAATTCTCAACACTTAATAGTGCTGTCATCAATGATCCCGAAGGACCAGAAAAATATAACAACAAAACTGATTTCAATATCTACACTCAATATTTTAATAAAATATTTTAATGAAAGATTTGGTACCATCCAACATTTATAAAATATGAAAAACAAGATCAACAAGGAAAGGCGGCGTTCAATGAACGCAACCCCCATATGACCCAGCAACAAGAACCAATGGCAAGGAGCCCAGGTGGACAACCTTAATATATTTCAATGAAAGGTAATATGATATCAGACTCTTGTTGTGGTAGTGAAGTGAATATGTTGTAAAGTTTGATTCTATTTACATCAGCTTATATAATCAATACATAATATTACATTATATTACTCAAGAAGAATAACATATATATAAATATTATTCAAGAAATATTAAGGGGTTGAACTTAACTTAAATTTATTTAAATGTTAATGATATTTAATATGCTTTGTTTTGTAGACATTTCATTTTTATCTCATTCACTAGTTTAAAGTTGACTATATACAATAATTATATAGAGAATTGTTCTTCTTTCACTCACACTCAAGACTTTAAACTTAGTAAAGTATAGTTGTAGATTTAGCATTTACACAATTATGTTTAGAAATATGTTTAGCTTCTTTGTAGTATTTTGATTCTTTTAATTATTTTGTAATACACAGTCATTATAATTATCTTTTGCAGAAAATGTTAATATTGTTTTATGTTAAACTATTCAATAAATCATAATATTATTTTAGAATAGATGTGTAAAGAAATGATAGGCTACAGCATTGGTTAAGTTATTTCTGATTTGCTGTTTCCAAACCAATCAAAAATGTTGTTACATACAGTGCCACCTGTATGTAGATGTGAGCTTCCTCTGGTATTCAGCAGCTCATTTGATAAACAATGGATAGGAGCTCAGCTATGGCAAAAAAGTGTCAGAGGATGTATGATTCCTTGGACAAAAAGAAATTTTACTACACGATCTATTAAAGTTAAACCCAATGGCTCATGTTCAAAAGTTGTAGACACAGTAAATTGATGACCACGAGGAAGAGACTTAAGTCCAATAATTATATTATATTATAATGTTTAGTTTGAAAATGAACACCTTTAGCGAAACAAAAGAAAAATTAAATAACAAAATAAAACAATAAATGCACTCATTTCACAATTTGTTGATCATTCTGCCGCCTGGATAATATCGGGATAAAAAGAAATGGCGATCAAAATGATGCAATTATCATTAAATGAATTCGATAAATGGACTAAAGATAACAAATTCATTTAAAATTATTAGATTTTCATTTGTTTTTGTTTACCTTTACTGTTTAGAGTTATAAAAGAGAGAAAAACAGAATTTCCTAAAGAAAGTCCAACACAACAAAACTGAAAATATTGCAGACTCGGTTTGATTGAGCCTGTTCATGGACGGTACTGGAAAGTGCAATTTACCGTCCACGCCCCCTAGCACCAGCTTTAGCAGAATTCAACATTTAACACGAAAATGGTGAAATTTTGAATTTTGAAACATCCGCGGATGTGTTCATACGGCGGTAATCACGGAACCTTCAATGTGACACAGTAGTGCCATTCCATGAAAAGCGGGGTATGGTCAAGTAAAAGAATGTTTTTGCCCTAAACGAGAAAACAATGGGCGGAACTAAATAAAATGGAATTTTGAAAGGGGATCTGAGGTTATGAAGCCTGCATATCACAGATAAGACGTCAAAAGACAAATTTAAAAAGCAGGCAACATATCCTAAGGGTGATTATACAGTATTCAAGTAGGAATACTAGAACCATCTAAGTTGAAAATGGCAAAAAAAAAGAAACTTAAAGTACCACATAACATGTATACACAACAGTTATGTCGTGCTGAACGATCTTCAATGATTGAAAATATAACATCATTGATTAAATATACGGGGAGACTTTTTACAGCCGCCACACGGCACAAAGAACACGGATGTGACTATAAAAGAGAGAAAAACAGAATCCCTAAAGAAAGTCCAACACAACAAAATTGTAAATGTTGCAGACTCGGTTTGTTTGAGCCTGTTCATGGACGGTAATGGAAAGTACCAGTTGTAAGTTTAACAGCACAGAATCATTTATGTTTTTGTTTTATATTTTAGCTATTACATTTTTAACAACTTTCAACACGTTTAAATCTTTAATTCATTAGTTTATTTTGATTTTCATACTTTTGGTTAAAATAAGAACAGTTTATATTAAAGAACTTGTAGCTTACTGTAAACAGTTTTAGCTTTTAGTAACTAATTTAAGTGTAAATAAAAATTTTGTTTAACAGTATATGTTTGTAAAACATCTATCGGCAGCCAATTAGTCATGTGGCCAGGTTATTGTAACAGGCCTTTGACCTAGTGACCAAAAATCAATAGGGGTTTTCTACTTGTTATGACTAGTCACTAGGTCATTGTGACCATAAAGGTTGTGTGCATCAATTTTATACTAAATAATATGTGCATAAAATTATGAATCATGTAGGCCTGCTTGATGACAGTCAATTTGTTATATTATATTTAACCTTGTATATACCAAAAAGATTTTAAGTTTAATAAAAATATTAACAACGGCACTGGGTTGTTGAGGTATTGGTCGTTAACCGTTTATACGTACAAGGTTCATGTGACTTTGACCCTTAAATCAACAGGGTTTATGTACTGGCCAAGACCAATTCATCTGTGAAGTTTGAAGGTGAAGGTCCCATGAGTTGTTGAGATATTGATAAGAAATAGTTTTTACATATAAGGACAATGTGATCTTAACCTCAGACCCGCTTGACCCTAAAAATCCATTGAGATCATGTCCTAACATAGAGCAATGTATGTGTGAGGTTTGAAGGTCAAGGGTCCATAGGTTGTCAACTTATTGATAGGAAAATGTTTTGACATACAATGTCAATGCGACCTTGATATTTGACCCCCTGACCCTAAAATTAATAGGGTACTTCTACTGGCCAAGACCAATGCAGTTTGCGGGCCAAGGGCCGATGGGTTGTCAAGTTACTAATCGGAAACAGTTTTTACCTACAAGGTCAATATGACATTGACCTTTTGACCAAAAATCAATAGGGATTTGTTATTTACTTGCCAGTTGTTGTTTCAGAGTTATATCCTGGACAGAGTTCAAAGTGTAAAAATAAACAAAGGGCAATGACTCTAAAATTAGGCAAGTCAAAGATCCATCAGTCATTTTCCTTGCACTTCTACTCAATCAGATCTATCTACCTACAAAGTGTCATGTTTCAGACTTGTCGTAGGCAAGAAAAGGGGACGGACGGACGGACGGACGAACGTACGGACAGGCTAACGAAATGGTACTTATGTGACCTTTTCCTTGACCTTTTCAGTCATTTAAGTCACACAAGGACTATAAAACACACAAGTTGAAACGGAAGGAATAGGATCAAAGGAAATGCACCAATACCTATCGTTCTTCAAGTCACACAAGTACCTCTCGGTTTGTACGGACGGACAGACGGACAAAGCGGCGACTATATGCTCACCCGTCGTGGAGCATAACATTTCTCTCAATTATATCATCTGAATAATAGCTGATTTTAAGCTTCGTCATATTGATGCTATAAAACAATGTTTTTTTTCACAACTGTAAAATAACTTTAACATTCAACCTGTTTACTAATGAACCCAACATGCCCCACCTTGCATTTTCTCAGACACAAACAAGCAAATGAATAGAACCACTGATATTCAGTAAGTTAGCTGGATAGCTTCCTCACATGAAAGGTTCCAAAGTCCATATCAGGATTTGAACCCACAGCAGTGAGTGGCAAGTGATTTAATATAGTGAACTCTTTGGCCATTCATGCATTTTCATCTCTAGATCATGTCATAGATTTTTACAAGCTCTAGTGATGACTTTAAAGACTGACCAAGTATTACTGATAAGCCAGCTTCGTCTCTCTATGTGTGATCTAAAAAGTGATTGTAGTTGATAACATATTACTCAAACTTCATTTTCCAAATGTTAGTATCATTAGGTTTCCCCATTATTCCACCAAAATCCATTATAAAACCACAACAATGTGAAGTGAAAACAATGATTTAAATACAAGTTGAGAAGTCTTAATCATTCCATTATCAATATTGTAATTGACTGATTTAAAACCACTTTAAAATCATGTTTTATTTTATGCTTTTCAGTGGATTATTGATTTATCCGTGAAAATTAAATG